TCCTCTGACCACGCCCCCCTCCCCCGACAAGGCGGTATATATAATTGATTAACCCTAAGGGCATAGAATTGCGTGCCGTTGGTCCTTAATTATAACTAATAAGGGCACCGAATCGATGATCCGTGTGAGCTTAATAAACAAGCTCGTTGGCTCTGTGGTATAAACGTCATTCTTTTAGGCGAGAATGTTGAGAACAATTTCTTGTAAGAAGTTGTACTGTTTACTTATTAACAAGGGGAGAGGTAGGGGCAATGCTTCAATGATAACAGCTAAACTTTGTCTTGTTCATGGCTAACTGATTACAACCAACATCACAGGAGTCATCGTTTATAATTATTCATTATTGAGAAGGGCCATTTCGACGTTTTCCCTTTTCAAATAATATGGATAGGTAAAGACCACAATACATTTAAGTCGCAGATTCAAGCAATGTTGATCGCTTGGTCCGCGAGCCATGGAAAAAAGAAATAGTTTTATGAAATTGTAAACGCAGAAAAAATGTTTCCTGCTTCGTTCCCTATGGGTATGTGACGTTTTGCTGCTGGAATATTTGCAGAATTACGTAGCATTGGTCGACTTTCATTGATTAGGGTTAAGCGCTTATTTTACTGACTATGGTTGAGCCGACTCGCTTCGGATTAGGGTTAAGCGCGTTTTCGGGTTAAACACTCATGATCTTTGTGTAGTTGACCTCCTTCAAGATCAAGGATCCAAAGAGGAAAACATTTCTTGTAGCCTTGGGTGCTCATTGATCAGGGTAACAAAGCTTACCTTTAGTTTTGGTAGTGTCCTTAAGATATGTAACGTCTTAATCTCTTAATGCAATGATCAAGCAAGCTGTACCTTTATGTACATGATAATCAACTACAGCGAAGATAAATGCAAGCGGTCATCTTCTCTTCTGAAACTTAAATGCTGTTCACTAGACCTTGACAGTCAATCTCCATCGCACAGCTGGCGGAACGAGTTGTTTTTGGTATTTTCAAACTCGACTGAGTCTTTTAATTTGCCGGTGCCTTTTCTTTTGTACAAAGAATAAAGTTGTTGTTGTTGTAAATCGCAAAAATACAGTACCTAAAAATTCAAGAATGATTTATGTTATTTTATAAAATAAATGAGTGATGTTGCGAGACTATATCTAATAGTCGTTCAGGTCGATTTGGCTTAAAAAAGAGATGTTAATTAGCTCATTTAAATTTATCATGGTGTGTTTGAAAGACTTTCATAAATTCATGCACATAATATTCTAAAATCGCAATCCGTTAGATTCGATCGGTTATACTATATGATGCCTGCTTTATAGCTGTGTTATTTTTGGTTGAATTTGTCAGGTGGTGTCCTTTCAAAAAGTAAATTTAAATTTGACCCGTTTTTGTGTCGTAAAACAGACCGTGGGATCGTCAAAACTAAGAAACTAGCCAAGCAATTACAATCAATCAATCAATCAATCAACAACTTTATTTAAGTGTCTAGTCTTCTAGCTTGCCTTCAGGCCTACTAATCGGGGACACTACTTAAATAACTTATTGATAAGAAATATATATACATAATACTATAAGCCAATAAGATTTAACTATTCTAAAAACGACTTAAAAGATACACGATATTCAATATGCTTCGAAAATACACCTATGTAATAAATAAGAAAAAACTATATATACAATTTCATAATATATCAACTCTACCAGTTATGATATTTCCTGTTTATGAATTATGAGTCACACAGGTGGCACCCTTTGCATGCGTTATCACTAACCAGTTTGCTCAGATCTTTTCTCCTTATATTTGCTTTAAACCTGCTTAAGGAGGTCTCGTTTCTGTCCTTCATACTCAATTTTGACCATAAAAATGGCCCAAAAAATCTGAGGGAATGCTTTCCATATTTAACAGTTTTTACCCTTTGAACGTGAAAGTCCGAGTTCCTCAGGTTGTAATTCGAAGGCGATGACGAGAAGAGTTCTAGGATGTTGTAAGGCAGTAATCTATTCCTTATTTTGAACATAAAGATAGCGATATCTTGTAATCTCATGTTATATAGACTAGTCATTCCAGCGTGTGTAAGAAGGTCACCATAAGGAGAGACTCGATCTTTGAAGACTGTACGTAGTCCTCTCTCATTAATTCTCTCTAGCTTGTTTCTGTCGCTTGCTCGACAAAAGTGCCACACCAAGCTACAGTATGTGAGATGGGGTAAAACTGCAGTTTTATATATCCGTAGTTTGGCGTTCATCGGGATCAGATTCTTTAGCCTTTGAAGAACAGCAATCATTTTACTGGTTTTTATGCAGACCTCTGATATATGCTGCGAGAAATTCAAGTCCTTATCAATAATTATGCCTAGCAGTTTGAATGCATCGGTAAAGTTAATTCTGCAATCATCAATCACTAGCTCCATTTGTTGTGTGTCCCTTGCTATAGCCATTGCTTGGTATTTGCTATAATTGCCTTGCAGAAAATTTGTCTTATACCACCTCGATGTCTCTTCCCCATCTTCCTTAATTCTATCTATAGCAGAGTGCAGATTCAAATTGGAGCAGTAGATCTGATGGTCATCGGCATAGGCAGACAACTGAGATTTAACGCCAGTGTAGAATAAATCGTTTTGATACACGTTCCACAACAGCGGTCCCAAGGATGACCCTTGCGGGCAGCCTCGTTTGACAGCTTTCCAATCACTTGTGTAGTTGCCAACTCTTGTTCTGTTTTCCCGATCATCAAAATAAGATCGCATTAATCCCAAAGCGGGGTCAGACAGCCCATAGGCTTTTAACTTTGCCAGTAACAAATTTGGATGTAATGAGTCAAAAGCTTTGCTCATGTCCGTGGATAATATCACTGATGCATGCCCTTTGTCTGCTGCATGCTTCCAATCTTCAGTAAGGCGTATCAAGGTCGTTTCGCAGCTGAAGTGTTTGCGGTAAGCTGACAAAAAGGTATCGAAAATTGGCTCAAACTTTTCACTTAGTTGTTTGCATATTAGCTGCTCAAAGATTTTATCAACCGCAGTTAGCACGGTTACTGGTCTGTAATTAACTTTATCTAAGGGGTCTTCCTTCTTATAAATCGGGATCCACTCTCCTCTCAATAGCCTGATTAAATATAGTAGTCAGTGGTGTTGCTAGCAGTTCTGCTGTCATTTTAAGTACTCTTGGAAGTAACATATCATATCCTGTTGCTTTATGGGGATTAATTTCTTTCAGTGCTGCGGGGACCTCATTCCTATCCAGTCTTCTGAAACTGAATGTATTTGGATCGTGCCTGGCGTTTATGCTCGCGACACTATGATGTTGATAACATAGAGCCTCTGTTAGAGCCCCTACGTTACACCCTTTAATTGTTTTACCAACATTTTTCATGCTTTTTAAAAATTCTGGTGAGCTCTCTATTAGACCGCAGCCACAGACATTTCACGTACATTGATCACATATCGCACAGCAAACTGACTGAATTGCAAAGCCCATTTCATTCTGTTGTAACACTCTAAACGTGTAAAATTTGACCCCGCACTTTCAGTTTGTTATCCATGTTCTCGAATGCTTTAAAAAAGCTGTGGCGGATCCTGTGGGAGGGTCCGGGAGTCCGGACCCACCCTATCAGGCCTGACGCTTGTTTGCGACTGAAATTCTTACATCGACGGGAACGTATATCACAGTTTTAAACTGGCTGATGTTTTTTAATGAAACGTGCGTTGCATTTTGCCACTAAACTAAACTCCAGGGATATTCAAAAATCATTTGTTGGAAGATTATGAGTTCAAGATTCAGCGAAGACAACAGGGCTGGAGCCGAAATGTTTGCCTTGGTTCCATCTGCTTTGGTGAAGCATGACAGTTTTCGTAACTTAGAAGAAAGCTGCAATTTTGGCAACATGACTTACCTACACCGTCCTCTCTTCCTTCTGAGTTAAAAGAATGGCAATACTTTTGGTGCACACCCACTTTACAGCTAAAAATCTAATCGAGTGTGTAGATGATCTGCTGAGGAGGATATGTATCCCAACATACGAGTTTTGCTTACAATTGGTTGTACCCTTCCTGTTGGTTCTGCCTAAGCTGAGTGTTCATTATCTGGCTTGCGACGAATCAAGTCATATCTCAGAAATAGGATGTCGGATGAGCGGTTGTCAGGACTTGCACTCATGCACTTACATCATGGCCTTGACATTGATGTTGACCAAATCTGTACAATCTTTGTTACCAAGCAGAAGAGGAAGATGTTCCAAGGGTGCATCCTTTGCGCGTAGAATTCAAGTGTCCAATTATAACGTGTAACCGCGACTGGTGAGAGGGGGTGTGAGGGTTGTGGGAAGAAGTACCGTATTTATTCGAATAGGCACCCAACCTCGAATTAGCGCCTACCTCGAATAAGTGTGCCCATCCTCAAGGCAGAAAAGGTTAATGGGCACCCACCTCGAATAAGTGCCCACTTGCAAGGTCCAAACATTTAATAAGCGCCCAGGGTGGTTAATCGAATAAATACGGTAATTTGCCACAAAAAAGTTCAACAGTCCTTTCTGAACCAAAGTTTGGACCCCTACCCCCCAATCAAAAATTCCTGGATCTGCCCCTGAAAAGTTATCGTCGCCCTCAAATGTAAGGGAATCCGGATTCCAGAATCAGGGAAATTTTTGGTTGTAGAATCCGGAATCCTTGGCTTTGGAATCGGCAATACAGCTCTCTGGAATCTTACAACTGAGTGGAATCAAGAATCCAAGTTCCACTTACAAAGACTGGAATACAGTACCTGGAATCTGGAATCCACGACGTAGAATCCAGGATCCAAGACTGTTTTGAATTCTCTTACATGGGGCAATCAGCCCTTCAATAATACCTTAATGAGAGCATTATGGTTATCTTTTGACCGTAGTTACTAAAACGAGGAACATTAAGANAATAGGCACCCAACCTCGAATTAGCGCCTACCTCGAATAAGTGTGCCCATCCTCAAGGCAGAAAAGGTTAATGGGCACCCACCTCGAATAAGTGCCCACTTGCAAGGTCCAAACATTTAATAAGCGCCCAGAGTGGTTAATCGAATAAATACGGTAATTTGCCACAAAAAAGTTCAACAGTCCTTTCTGAACCAAAGTTTGGACCCCTACCCCCAATCAAAAATTCCTGGATCTGCCCCTGAAAAGTTATCGTCGCCCTCAAATGTAAGGGAATCCGGATTCCAGAATCAGGGAAATTTTTGGTTGTAGAATCCGGAATCCTTGGCTTTGGAATCGGCAATACAGCTCTCTGGAATCTTACAACTGAGTGGAATCAAGAATCCAAGTTCCACTTACAAAGACTGGAATACAGTACCTGGAATCTGGAATCCACGACGTAGAATCCAGGATCCAAGACTGTTTTGAATTCTCTTACATGGGGCAATCAGCCCTTCAATAATACCTTAATGAGAGCATTATGGTTATCTTTTGACCGTAGTTACTAAAACGAGGAACATTAAGAACATTGAGACTTGAATTAAAAACTCTCTTTATACTTTATGTTTTTAGTGGTTAGTTCATCCTGTAAATGTCAGTGGCTACAACATCGAGGTCATAGAGCCTACAACACTGAGTGCATAACCGGCTGCGTCGCGGAAAAAGGGCGGTGATCCAGAACTACCGTCATAAAAACAAATTCTAATTGGTAAGTTCGTAACACGCCACCATGCATTCGTTATATCCGCATGATTGAAACAGAGTTCTTAGAATCTTGACGTCAGTCTGAGTCTCTACAAAATCAACACCAGCTCCGAGATCCTCCTCTCCCAACTTTATGAAAATTAATGGATTAGATTAATCATAGGAGAAAAATTATATTGCGATGTCGGTGTTTCCTCATCTTGTTTTTTGTTTTGTTTTTTTGCGGGTGATGCGGTGTTTGTTATTCTTTTTTCTTTAGTGTTGGCAGTTCCCTCCTAGCTCCTTAACGTAAAACATGAGAATTAAATTTTTCCCAGTTGACAAACCTGTCTCATACCCGTTGAAAGCAAGTAAAGTAATGCGGAGTCTAAAGAAACACAAATAAATTTACACACATTCCACATTAAACATTTCATTCACACACAGTCGAATAAATGCAAGCCATGTTTTTTTTTAAATGTACGTTTATTAAGGTTAAAGAGCTCTGCCCGCAATTATCGGAACTATCTAATTAATGAGTTACATTGAAAGAGTAGGTTTTCATCATACACTATTGCTTACAATTTTTGTTTTTATCACATCCATTCTGAAATCACTGGTGATCCCTGCAATCTTATTGGTTCCCAGCAGTGTGATTTGTTCACGAATTGCACTATTTTTGCTTTCAATCACATCTGTTCTAAATTGTGTCGTTCATGTTCTAAACCGCATAATTTTTGTTTCAAATCGCAACAGTTTTGCTCTTACATCGCATCATTTTTGTTTCGATTACAAAATGAGTGTAAAAACCTTTTTGCTTCCACTTTTCATCAAACTACTACTACATCAATTTAATTTGGTACTGACTGAATTCTGCGATTTCAAAATGCTGTAATAGGGCGGTAATTAAACTTCGTGTAGTGCAATTTTGGTCTGAAATCATACTAGTTTTGTGATTTCAAATCGAACTCGTGCTGCGCGCTTCCTTTTTAAAATCGTGCGTATAATCTCAGACCAAATTGAACTCTCTTTCAGTTCAATTACCATTATTTACAACCTCCAACATTCACAATTTATCTTGTAGGTCTCTCTCTTTCAAGGATGACTCTTTAAACCACACATTATCAAAGACCCCGCCAAATAGCCTACCTCTGTCAATTCAATCCATTTCGTTTCTTTTTTCCAACCCATTAAACTGAAACCATATTGAAGAGCAACTGCCTTACTTGCGAGAATCTGAGACTCAGGCCCCGTTTATAAGGAGAAAATGTTTCTAGTGTAGAAGGGTCACTCGCCTACCCAAGGTGCCCTGGACGAACCAACTAGCCGGGCCACCTTTTCTCCATACTAACGTCACTTTGCCTCGCCCAGCCGGGTCAACCTGGTCAAGACTAGACAATCAGAGCATGCGCGAGCACTATTGGCTCGGGCAAAGGAGCATTCAGTCGTTCCCAACGGCCGCGATTCTTTTGGTCACTGGCGCTGATCAAAAGGATCGCGGCCTATAAAGACAAGAGTGGTAAAGAGGTCACAGTTTTTCTTGTGTAAACGCTCGATCAAGACGAGTCGGTTGGGAGGGTGTTCCATCTACCCGGGGCAGGCCTTCGTCATACAAACGGAGCCTCAGTTAAAGATGACCCGATAGACATAGTTTTGATCTAGGGCGTAAAAACGACTCAATGACTAAGGATTGTGTAAAAATTTAAGAACTAATCAGCAGCATATAATACACCAAACTAATACCCGATGAATTTGCAAGGATTGGGTGATCACTAATAAGGTTTCTGATGGTCACTGCAAAGTGACCATGCCCGTAGCATGGCTAAATTAACAGTAGTTGGCTATGTTAAAGCTTCCCTCGATCATGAACCGACGAAAACTTTAGCAAAAAGCCAGATTAGAAGGTGCACAAAGATTGATGTCACAATTTGTGCTGATGCCACCCATACAGTGACATCGTCCATTAAAAATTGACCAAAAGGCAGCTCTTTGATTGATTGCCAAAGGTGTCGGCAACATGAATCTTATGTACCAGTTTTAAAGGTAGAAATGCCTTCATTTGTTGCAAAACAACTGTTAAGGCAAAATTGAGTGGTAATAAACAAATCGACTATTTAATGATGCGTGAGATTCAACTAACCTTAACTTTCAATAATGATAGGCGCACAAGAAGAGAAGCTCAAAACTCCTCTGCTCCTCCCTCAAATAGAGGCCTAAAATAGCGATATTCTCAAAGTTATT